CCGCTTAAGCAGGAAACCCTACACCGCTTCAGACAAATGGTTGTCCAATCTCCTCCTAAAAACTTCCAGTCTTGGAGCATTTACACCTTCTGGAGGCCGGTTGTTCCCCTGGTGAATTGTTCTCACTGTTATTGTTCTAATTCATCCATCGGTGAAACTTGAATCCGTTAGAACAGAGCTGGAAGGGACCTTGGAGGTCTTCTAGTCCAGCCCCCTGCTCTAGCAAGAGAACCTCTACTTCTGACCTCTTTCTCCCATCCTTTCCTTTCTCCTCTTTCCGTCAACGTAGCCACACGTCGGAGCATAAAAGCACCGCAATCGGGCCGCTGTCTCACTCTGTTTTTCTCCAGTTTCTCCCCAATTTGCTTCCACCAAACAGTGAGAGACCAGAACCTCCGCTCTCCTCTGTGACCTTCGGAGGCCTCCTGGGTGAAGCCGTCGCATCTTGGCCGCCCGTCACAAGTCTCCTTTGCGATCCGCAATCCTCCCCCGCCCCCTCCGCCGCTTAGATGCGGTTCGAGTGGGTCCAAGGCTATGGGGGGGGGGGTGAGTTTTGGGGCATAAACACAGCCCCTTTGGTTCATGCACCGTGGAGCTCCCAGCCCCAAAGATCTGGAGACAAGGTCAGAATTAGGAAATCGGGAGGCTTGAGGACTCCTGGCCGACTTCCCCTTTCCGGCCAAGGGGGACAGTCTTAAAAAAGGACACGGGTCGGAACAGCTCCAGACGGAGTGAGACTCTCTATTTTTAGGTACTGGAGTGCAAGAGGAGACCTTTGGGCCACCAGGTCTCCTGAACAGGGCCGGCCTTGGTCTGCAGCGTCTCCGGCCAGAGGCTTCCTTTGGCTATATTAATGTCCTTCAAGCACAAGATGACCAAGTGACCAACCCAAAGCAAAAATGATCTTTATTTTCCCCAAGTCTTTGGGAATTTAAACGTTTGGTTCTAGCCCTGGGTCTGCAGGAGGGGTGAACTGGTAAAACTGCACCCGGAAGCCAGTTTGGGGTACAGGTTAGTCCTCAACAGGAGGCCACAATGGAGCCCCAAATTTCTGTGGCTAAGCAAGATAACACTGAAATTTTGGCCCGTTTTGCCACCTTTCTTGCTGCAGTGGTTAAGTGAATCCTTCATTAAGTGAAGCAACGGATGGAAAGTGAATCCAGGAGAGAAGCAAAGCTAGAACTAAGGAGAGATTTCCTGTCAGAACAATTAATCGCGGAACAACTTTGCCTCCAGAAGTTGTGAATGCTCCCAACACTGGAAGTTTTAAAGAAGAGATTGGATAACCGTTTGTCTGGAATGCTACAGGGTTTCCTGCCTGAGCAGGGGGTTGGACTAGAAGACCTCCAAGGTCCCTTCCAACCCTGTTGTTCTGTTCTAGTCATTGGAGTTATTAAATTAGTAACACGGTCGTTAAGTGAATCCCTTCGACTTTGCTTGTCAGAAGGTCACAGGGCATTGAGAACCGTCAAAACAAAGAGTCCGAATTTTGATTTCTGTGAGCACGGGGATGCTGCAACGGTTGTAACTCTGAAAACTCTTCCCGTGTCACCTTTTTCAGGGCTGTTGTAACTTTGAACGGTCACTAAATGAAGGGTTATAAGTTGAGAACGGCCTGATCTGGCCCTAAGAGCTGAGCTGGAAACTGGGCGATTATCCACAAAGTCCTCTTGAGACATCCAGATGTTTCCTGGTGGGTGTCAGGATTCCGGCAGTTGCCCCCATTTAAATCATGAGTCTCGAGCCAAACATCCAAAACTTCAAAAGGATTTATTGGGAGTTAACATGTCCGGCACTGCCTGGGTGGAGCCGACTCTGAGACACATCAATCATTTGTCACCCTTGACCCTGGTTTTCCCCCACCCCTCTGGGTGTATCGTAATTCATATTCTCCAATGGGACACATCCATAGCCCAGAGTCATCAATCGTGCTCTCCAGTTAGAATTTTGCACGGCAGAAACTTCAGTCACCTAGTTACTATCTTTGAAAACATTTATGGAATGCACTTTCGGTTTGCAAGCTGCCGCACTGCTCTTTCAAACTCCTTTCCTCCCCCACTCTCCCTTTCTGTTGGCAACTCTAAAAAGACCATAGAAATATTTTATGAGTTGACAGTGGGCTTTGGGCCTGTCCCTCCCTCTCAGCCCCAGACCCATGTGGGGGTAGGGGGGTGGGAGGGAAAGGGGCTGGACTGGGATTGTGGCCAAGGATACAAAGGTTAATCGAGCCTTCTGGATCGTGGGGGCCATTTGTGAGCAAGATCCAGGGGGAATCCGCCCCCACTGGCGTGATGGGGAGTGGGGTATTCCCTTGAAGGACACGCCTTGGTTCCCAGCAAATCCGATCCCTCCGTCTCTCACACACACCTTTTCCTGTCTCTGGCAAAGTGGCTCTATTTACACATTTCTAACACTGTCCCTCTAAAATTGGACTTCATTCTGTAATTTGACCCAAGCTGATTCC